ACGTTGTAATATATTGGAGTGTAATCTAACGTTTTATACAAAAGTCGTCGCTCTTATTGCTGTTTAGATAATATTTAAAATTATTAGATGAGAAGAATATTTAATGAAATATTTTATGAAATACATGTACATGAATAATATTTCATAAATATATGAAATATATTTCGTACGTACAATGAAATATATTTCATAAATTATTATAAAAAAAAAAATTATATATATATATATATATATATACATGATTAGATAGATTATTAATGTTTTGAATAATATCATTATATTTTATTATATTATTATCAATTAGTATGAAATAAAAATGTATAAACGTTCGGGTGGAAGAGTTAATGATCTTTCTTTTTTTTTTTACTTTTTTTCTTTTTTTTTATTGATCTACCTCGATGAATTTGAGCTTCATCCTCAGGCACAGCACCAGCTTCAGCCAAAAGAGCTTCGGGATCCGTAGAGATTTGAATTTCATCGTTGGTTATTTCGTCGTCGTTAATATCGTCACCCAATTCCGGATCATTATCCAGTTTAGGATTCTCCCAAGCAGCCAGACCTTCTCTTCCTAATCTTTCCGAAGTCAATTTCTTCACTGCCTTGATCCATAGCTGTTTTCTCGGTGAAATGGCCAGTCTGTTATAGGACGAAGAGAATAGTACCAAGAAAATTTTATTAACGAAATACGTTGTACATAAACGATACGCCAAATGCATATATATATATATATATATATATATATATATATATATATATAAATTATATATAAATGTTACAAATTTAATTCGATTAAAATTAATTAATAATATAGAAAAAAAAAACAAAAAGAAAAAAGAAAAGAAAAAGAAAAATCATATGTAAATATAAAACGTCATCATCATTGTTATCATTTTATTCCATAATTTGATCCATCCTAATTATTAGATATTATCTTCTTTCTTTTATCTATCTTTTCCTTTTTTTTTCTTTTTTTTTTCCTAATAAAATTAATAGAAATAAGAGATTGAACTTACTCGTTGATGCCGGTGACATCGCTGTCCAGCATCATGGTCCAAGTTTGTTCTGTAATCATTATCCCACCGATGATCCGCGAGACAAGTAATCGCTCACGTTGTAAGTGTGTTAGTATCCGGCATTGTCAGGCAAGTTAGGCCAAAACTGAATATGAGAGAAGGAAATGGTGTCGTAAAACCGATGATATGAAATGAGAGAGAGAGAGAGAAAGAGAGAAAAAAAGAAAAAAAAAGAAAGAATAAGAAAGAAAGAGAAAGAAAGAGAAAGAAAGAGAAAGAGAGAGAAAGAGAGAGAGAGAGAGAAATAGAGAGAGAGAGAGAGAGAGAGAGAGAGAGAGGAAAAAATAATAGAAAACAGACACAATTTAAAAAATAACATGCAAGGCGTTTGCGAAGTGACCTTTCGAACGTGTATATGTTTGTGTGAGTGTACGCGATGTGAACATGAAGGAACGCACGCAGAAAGAGGTTATTAAAAAAATAAATAAATAAATAAATAAATAAAGAAGAAAAAATCAATTAATTAAAAAAACTAAAAAAGAAAAAAAAACCGTCGTGGATCTACGTCGTCGTCATCGTTGCAAGCTTAACTTATTTCAACGATTACATATATATATATATATATATTTGTTGTTTGTATCCATTCGAATATATATATATACATTTTATTCGAATAAAAATAGACACACCGATGTATTCCAATGCGTCGAAGATATGCAGAAAATATCGTTTGCAAAAAAAAAAGAAAAAAAAGAAAAAAGAAACGCTCAAAAAATTCAAATACACTTGAAAATACGTTGAACTGCGCGCGAGCAATTGAACGTTTCGTACGTGCGGAAAAAAGGGAGAACAGTGACGGAAATAAATATTTATAAGCGCAAAAGAAAAGAAAAAAAAGCAAATTGAAAAAAAAAAGGAAAATAAATATATATATATATATATATATATATATATATATATATATTTATATATATATATATATTTATATATGTATATATATACATATATATATTTATATATATATCATTAGATTCACGCGAGATAACAAAATAAAATTACCTACGTGCTAATCGACGCCGATTATTACCGGTAGCGTACGATCGACGGAATAGACTGACTCTTTTCGTTGGCACCAAACTTAATCGTCATTGGAGCGGCCAGCTTACCCTGTCTGCGAAAAGTCGAACTCTCAAACTCGCGCGCGCAAAAATGACCGAGACAGAGAGAGAAAGATATATATATATATATAACTCGTGTAAGTGCGACAAAGACCGAAGACTTCCGAACGAGTTACGAAAATACGCGCGCGCGCGCTCGCACCCTTGTCACAACTCGAAATTTCCTGAGTCGTCGTTCAAATTATAAACGATGTTAATGTCGCTAATTGATTTTTATATCAAGCTAAATGCTTTAACTTATTGTTCGATGACATATCATCGTGACGTTGTATGGCACAATTCTCTTTCCTGATACCCTCTATTTTAAAAATTTTTCTTCTTCTTTAAATCACGTCGATTTTACACGTTTCTTCAGATATTCAAAGACGGCTCCCGTTGTTCATACGAGAATTCCGTTTATTCAAATAATAGAATTTGATTGGTCCGACTTACGTAGTCGTCAAATCGCGGAATATTTGAAATTGTCGATAATGAAATGGTATAATAATTTATTAATATTAATTGTTATTGTTAAGTAAACGTTTGACATTTCAAATTTGTATGAATGCATTAAGTAATATCTATATGAATGGTAAAGTAAATTTATATATAATTTAATTTTCGATTTTATTTTTCAAATGAAACATTCATTTTATTTGGACTTACGTAGTAATTATTTCAGCGGCATATTTGAATCCATTTTGTTCCCAAACGATCTTGTCATATATTTATATATACTTTAATAATTTATATTTTCATAAAATTAAAATTGTAACAAATTATATTCTCAGTTATATAATTATAATCTATAATTTTTTATTGAATATAAATTATAAACGAAAAATAAAAATTTAACAAAAAAGGATTTCTACAAATAAATATAAGAAAAGAATGTTTCTTTTTTTTTTATTTATATAATCACTTTCCTTTTATTGGCACTTTTTATAGAGTTATCAAAAATAATATATTACCATAACACAACACGATAAGCTATATTATATATTATTAATATAACAAAATAAAAATATATTCTTTTTTTTATGAAAAGCTATGTCATGTCCAATACTAGATATATTTACTTTTGACATTAGTTATAACTAACTTAGATATAACTAATATATACGCAGGGAAGAAGGATCATCATATTGTGTTAATCTAGTCTAATAGAAAATACTGAACAATAAAAGTCGACTTTTTTTCTTTTGTTATCATATTACTACGAATAAAAATTTAAGTAATATATATATTATTAATAATAATTAATAATAATTTAATTATTATATAGTAATAATTATTATTAACCACGCAATTGTATAATTATTCATATAATTATTCATTATTATTATAATTATTATTGATAATATATATCTATATATATATATATATATATATATATATACATATATATATATATATATATATACATATATATATATATATATATATATATATATATACATATATATAGATACATATACACACATACACGTATGTCTCATACTTCTTTATCTTATAAATTACATACTTGTAAATCTGTCAAATTGCAATCCTAAAATTTACAAATATGTTCATAATAATATTATTTGGCACGTTAGAGCCAATATCTTTCTCTTTGAAATCATAATAAATTTACACAATACGTATATGAAAACACACACAAAAATTAGATTTTGCAATGAATATAACAGCACCAAAATATTGATAAAACTATAACAAGAAAGTTATTAAAGTAACTAACAAAAATACACCTAGTGTATTTCTACATATAAATCTACATTCACATAAAAATCTTTAATTTTAACCAAAAGATATGAAATATTTAGATATTTTTCAATTTAGTTTTGCGCAGCTAAGCCATTAAAAAAAATGTTTCAGACAAAAACTTATGTTATCTTAAACGATATAATACAAGCCAAATGATATTTTACATATTTTTTTGTTTTCTCTCCCTCTTATTTTTCTTTTTTTCTAATTCATATCACAACCAATCTCGTTTTAAAATATTGGAATAATTACCCTGAAACATTTTTTTTATTGATAACATTTAGTTTCATATATATTAGTTAAAGCAACAAAAAAGAAAAAAAACAAGAAACAAAATGGAATGCTTACAATCAAATTATTACATCTATAGTCCTCTACAGACCACAGCCAAAAATTTCTTTATAATATATAGTTTTACTACGAGTTGATGAGACTACGTTATTTAAATTCTTCTCTCTCTCCTCTCTCTCCTCTCTCCTCTCACTCTCTCTCTCTCTCTGCATTTTCTATAAAAGCTATAGTTGATTGAAAAAAATCTTTCAAATTCAGAGTACACATAATTTCTTAAGAAAATCATAAAACTATTTAAGAATAGTTCAAACGCTATTTATGTTGAACTTATATATAAATATATATATATATATATATATATATATATATATATATATATATATATTTATATATATATATATTAATAATGATTATTTAATTATTATTAATAATATATATATAATATATATTATCATAGTCATAATAATATATGAAAAAAAGTCTCTATTGTTATAGATTCAAGGAACATATAAATAAAGCACATATACCAGATATATATTGCTGTCTCCCTCTTTTCCTTTCTTTCTTTCTCTCTCTCTCCCCCTCCCTCACCCTTCCTCTCCCTCCATCTCACTCTATCTCTCTCTTTCTCTCTTTCTCTCTTTCTCTGTAATAGAGATATCAAGAAATTTGATGTAATATATTAAAGATAAGAGAAAAGATGATATTTTAAATATATAAAAGAGGAAAAAAAAAGAAAAAAAATTATAAAAATTAAATCTTTCATGAACACAACCTTGTAAAATACTTCCTTAGAGACATGCACTCTATTTTTTTTGATTAAGATTACAATTATCTCTTTTTTTAACAAAAGTCTTGTCTTTTCTTTTCTTTTTCTTTTTTCTTTTTTCTTTTTTCTTTTTCTCTTCTTTTTTTAGACTTTTTTCTTCTATTTCTTTTTTTTTTTTTTATCATTTTTTATTTTTATTTTTTTTTTTTTTGTTTTTATCTTTTTACTTTTATTTCAATATGGAAATGTATATTAACTTTTGGTACTACTATTTTGAATTACTATTATTACAATCAAATCAGTCTGTATATACTGCACGACCTTCCTCTACTAAAAGCTGATCGATATAAATGTCTTCCGATGTCTCTACATCTATCAATTTTAGACCAAGTATAGTTTCAGCAGGATTAACATCATCGTGAGTTGATTCAACAACTATTGATACAAAATTCTTTTCTAATACCAATCGCTGAAATCTTAGGCAATCTTCAACCGACCAATCCATGTTAATAGGCCTTATTCCTATTAATTTATATTATTTTTATATTTATTTATATATATATATTATATAAATACAACGTAATATTTTATATTAATGTAAATTACTCACCAACTAGCTTGGCCTTTATTGCTTGATATGGTAATTCTAAAAATTGACTTTTTAAAGGTTGTAACTTGTCTAACGATAGAATAGATACATCACCAAAATCACAGAAATATACGGTGACCATATTTTCATTGATAATATTCAAAGCGGATACTCTACAAGATATGATTTCAATGATAAAAAAATATTCAAAATATTTATTATATACATATATATATAAAAAATAGTTATTATATATTTACCTATACCAATGCTCATCTATATGTTTCGCTGCATAAAGATTTCCTTCTCTAATCGATGCAACGGTTGGATATGATCCATGATAATTCAAACAAACTTCTTGCAATTCGATCATCATCGCCTATATACATATTTAAATAACATATATAATAATGCAAAATTATATGAGATTATTTATGATACCTCTAAAGATCGTTTGTCGTCTAATGGTTGAATAGTAAAATTTCCTGGATTGGCTGCCATTGTAACGTGTACATCAAAAAATTCACCAAGTCCTGTGATCTTCGGAGGTTTTAACGTTTTTATAATATCGTCGTCTTCGTTCGTTATTGCTCGTGATGTAATGCGTTTTCTTGATTTTACATTATTATTGCCGTCGCCGATAGTTCTATAATAACGTTATAATAAAAATAATAAATAATAAATCTTCACAGATTTTATATTTGTCTAATATACCTTTCATGTTCTTCGAATGCTAAAGTAGTATTGATAGAAGCAAGAACATTGTCGGGTTGAACACGTTTAAACAATTCTACTAATGGTGTACCAACGGTTGAATGTGCGATCACCTTCATAAGAATTGGTTCACCCTGTGGAACAAGTTTTCTTAGCCGAGAAACCATCTTCTCATTACACATTGATTTTTCAATATTGTGAAGATGTACTTTCATAGCCTAAAATATTAATTAAATTAAGATAATTATATATGAATCTATATGATATTCAAAAGAAGAAGAAAAAAGATTTTACCTGTGCAGGATATTTAGTTAATAAATCAGAAAGTTTTTCCAAATGCAATAAATTGGCTTTACTCGCAATGACTGCATTTCCAAAATCAATTAAGAACACCTTCACTTGACCATTTGGATAAATATTCATCACTTCTCCTCTATACCAATTTCCATCCACAGATACAAAATATTTTTTCATTCTGTCGACAACAGTAACTATACTGTATTTCAAAATATCCGCGGTTAAACCAGTTTGTGTCAAACGATTTATCAAGCGAATTAAGTATTTCATTCCTTCTGTTTGTATCTGAATGTAAACATCACCATTCTTTTCTACGTGTGAGACAAAAACTTCTGTTACTTGTCCTGCCTAAAATTCAATGTAAAATTGTAAATATTAAAAGTAAACTTAAGAGAATGAAGTAATAATTATGTACTCACGATATTCATTTGTGGTAAAGCTATAATATTCTGCAATATTTGCTTATATAGAATTTTATTTAAATTAATATCATCTGGGCCACTTGTATCATAAAATTCAACAGTAGCATATGGACCATCTTTATCGAAGCCCTGATTAAGCACTTCGACATAAAAAGCTTGGCCAAGTAATAAATTTTCAATATGAGTCAAAACAGTCTCGCAATCTCTGAAATCTTCCAAACCAGCTAAACACATACGCATTGCCTGAAGAAAATAGATTTTTTTTTTTAATAATGTATAAAACAGTTTTAATGATGTATATGATAATACACCTCTTATATATCTATTATGTATTGGAATATTACTTGTGCAGATAGGCTGCAAAATTTTTTATCCAGTATATGTAAATCATTTAAGGGACGTTGATCTTCATCGCCATGATCAATGAATAACACAGTAACCATTCCAGTAACACTGTCAAATTCTTCACAGCGAACTCTATGCCAACAATCATCTTCAAATATCGCATAATAATCTCCTATCTCGACTGATTTTATAGATGGTTGGCTTCGACCATAACATTCCATCATCTCAGCTATCATAATATCAAATTTGTCCTGAATATCAAATAAAATTAATATTTAGTAAATCTGCAAATTATTTGTAAAAAAAAAAAAAGAATATTATTTCTCATAAAATGTTTAATATTATCTCTTACACTATAATCAGGACCAGCGAGTCGAACCCAAACATCGACTGTACTTATCACACAACAAACATATACGATCCAATACTGATCTTCTGGCAATTGCAATTGTCCTGGTATTGTTGGTCCTATTGGATTCAATAATATTTTATCTGATTTTGGTGAAATTGGATCACGTACCTAATATAAAAATACAAATATTCTCTGCATATATTCTTTAGAAGTTAGATTATAAATATAATGAAGAACACTTTACCACAATTTTTCAATAAATTTATACATTTTACCTTTTCTTTTGTAATCTCGGAACGTTGTAGAATAATTGAATTATCAGCACCTTTTTCTAATATAATTTCAGAACATTTTTTTATGACGTCAAACCAATCTCCAGGCAAACACTCTCCATATCTTTGTTTGTAATATAAAGGTATTTGATCTTTGAAAACTCCATTCATGTGAGTATTTACAATTGCCACTATACGTTTTTGTATTAATTCTTTATTGGTAGTTTCAGTGATATTAGGTAATGAACCAAATTTATCAATAAGATCCTTTAATGCTATTTCAGCTGCTAATCGTTGAGCTTCATCTTCGGAACTTACATCATAGGGATAATTGCTATATCCATGTGGTCCAATCTATATATTAAGATATATATATATATATATGAAATCTATATATATATATAAAATTTATATTTTAATAATTAGAATATAGTGTACCTTAACATGAGCATATATACCCATCACTGTTGAGGTTCTAGTAGTTGCTGGTAATATCCTGTATATAGGTTCAGGTAAACTAAGATTTTTTGCACAGATTTTCAATTGATGTCTCGGATCTTCTAAGGATACTGTTGATTTCAAAATTGTCTTCTTCTGATTATTTTCTTGCACCTAGAAAGAAAAAACATTTACAATTTTTTTTACAATTTCTGAAAAGATTTATATATATATATATGTGTGTATGAACCTTTAATGATTGTGCAGTAGCAAATGAAATTGGTTTGTTTCCTATTAATTGTGCAGGAGATAACGGTGATAACACTTCAGAATGTTGAAACGTTGATACATTATTACTTATGAGCGAATGGGATGGAACATCTGAATTAATTTTAAGTCTTCCACTTATATTTGAAGATGATTGTTCATTACTACAAGCTTCTGAATATTTCTGTAGTGTGTTTGGTTTTGATGTTATCACAGGTGTTGCAGATTTTTCAGCATTATCATTGCTTTTAAAAAATGTATTATTATTATGTTTATTAACATTTTCGTTCATTATCGTTTGAATAGCATTTGATTTTCTATCCTTTAGTCTCTACAAATATAAATGGTTCATTATAATGAATTTTCTTCAAGAAGAATATTATTATTGACTATGCATTAAAAATGTTTACTTTGCTAGGAAAAGTAGGTGCTCCCGACACCGGTTGTATATATCTAGGTCTTCCTAAAGAAGATGGCGGTATATATCCTGTTGGAACTTGCATGAGAGGCACAATCCTAAATAAATTGTAAAATATAAAAGAGTTATATCTATTTCTAAAAATAAAACTTATAATATTTATTTTATTCTAATATTAAAAAATATTGTATTTAGGATTATAAAATAGTAAAACAAAAGTATAATATTCTTTTTTCAAATATATACTTTTCTTGTTTTTGATTAGTGTTGTTTTTCATAGAATTTTTAGTCTGCATAGAGGAATTTGCATTAACATTTTTCCCAGGGAAAACAACTTTCTTCGTTGAATATGGCATTCGACATGGCGTTGAATTGTGGTAGAAACCTTTTCGGAACTAAATAATATATAAAAATCCTTAAAATATCATATGAATATATGTAAATTTGTTAAACATAAATCATAGATAAAAGTAACCTCTTTCTTATTCCCACTCTTTTGTTGTGATATTAGTTTGGAAAGATGAAAAGACTTTTCATTAGGTAGAGCTTCTACATATGTTTGTCCACCTTTATTAGTAATTTTAATTCCAGATATTGATTTTAAGAAAGCCTCTAGAGATTGATATCCAAGCCTACGATATGGTATATTTTCACCAATAATTGTTCTAAAATCTCCTAAAATAAACATATTTGTTAGTACTCATACAAGAAAATAATTATATTATCAAACAGATAATACATTTTCAAAAGTTCTACGTATCGTATTAATAATTCTTTAACTTACGGTCTACTTCATTTATGTGTACCCCTCCTTTTGAAGACAATAATGCTGCTCGCAAGTTTCCTATGACCTTATCTCGATCCATTTTTGATGCTTCATATATTGAAAATATAAACCACAGGAACAGTCGAGTTTATAACTTTTATAAACTATAAACCTGTGAAATATATTTTACCTATTTATATTTCTAATATATCAAAAATAATTCATACAATGAAATGAAATAAAATGAAATATATTACAAGTAACATTTTGCAATTAATCATTATGATCATATAAAACGTTCCTTTTACATTTAATGTTCTTATACACAATGATATTAACATATAATTTCTTAATATGCATGTAATATATGGAGATGTTGTATATTACTTATAAACGTACGCCCTTCTTTCTAAACGAAGAAAATATTAAAAAAGATTCATGGATAATAAAACATAATTATTATCTAGAAAAAATTCTTTTACATAATGTATGTGTCATTAATCGACCATACGTTTCGAATCACTTAAAGAAATACATATAATTTATACAAAATATGTAATAATTAATGATCATTAATTGAGATGACACAAAATATATAGTTGATATAATGAAATTTCATAGAAAATGATTATAATATAAAAAAATAAATAAATGAATACATTCCTTTCATATTCGAGGCCGCATATTTGTCTCGCACCTTTGACGATCTGTACCGAACTCTTAAATAGGCTACGTACAAATTAAAGCGTGACGTAGAAAATATTTCCAACGAAGTACGTGAGAAGAGAAATCAATTTCTTTCGATTAGTATAGGTGTAAAAGAAAGAACGAATCTCTTAGGGAAATTATTCGTAACTATTGAATTTTTAATGAATAGTTCGATAAATTAACCTATATTATTCGCGATAATTGCAGTAATTTCTTCAAAACGATTTCAACCAATCGTGCTTGAACTACTTAAGTAATTATGTGTATTGTATATATACATGTGTGTATATATATATATATGCATATACATATGTGTACGCTTACTTATCTACTTTAATATCTAATTCGTCATATATTTATCATACAAAATTAATACTGACCGGGTTTAATTCAATTTTCACGATAATTGCATTAACAATTACTTACAAAAATCTATAAAACTCTAACACTCCCGGCGTTCTACAATAGACTAATCCACTACGTACTTGACATTTCTCCTTCACGTTTCACTGTTTATATCGTACACAGTCGAAAATCACATTCAGGCTGCGTCACACTTTCACGGATGAAAAAATTAACCTATCATGCGTCAAGTGTAGAGTACCACGTGATCGCTTGACCAATTACAATTCAGACTTCTTTTGCGATACAATTACTCGTAACCCGCGTATTTCAAAACAATTTCAAAGCAAAAATTATCGCAGGTATTTTATTTATTTTCATATTTTTATATAACAATTTTCTTCTTTCTTTTTTTTTCTATAATACACAATTTATCGTATCATTGAATTCTTAGAGAAAAAAAAAAAAGGTTCAACAGTAGGTTTTATTTTTATTTGAAACTTCAATTGAAAATTATAAAGGTTATTATACACGATCGTATACACTTAATACAACACATTCAATTAAAAAACCAGGGTGATAGAATAAAAATCAAGTCGATTTCTACCATCAAAGAAAAATTTATTATCATAAAACTTGAAGAAAATCCTCTCGCGATCAATATTAGTTTTCAAATATAACTTGGTTGTTTTTCGCCATTACATAACAATCGCTTAAGCCATCATAAAGCTTTTTAGGAGGAAATTTTTAAACTGAGGATTAATTGCAAAATGACAAAAAAAAGAGAAAGAAAAAAAAAGAGAAAAAAATTAAAGTTAATTAAAATGATACGATAAAAATGACAGCTTAATTTTTATGGCGTTTATTCTTTTTTCGAAGCCACAGCCTGCTTGGCTTGATGAGCCTGCAGTACTGCCACAGCCTCCTCAACCTTGGCCTTCAATGATTCGTTATGCTCCAACATATGAAGGAGTTCCGAATTATCAATCTCTAACAACATTCCTGTGATCTTCCCAGTGAGTTGTGGGTACATGCATTGAATCAACGGGAACAAACGTTCTCCCAACATTTGTTTCTGCTCCTGTGGAGGAGCAGCTGCTAACATGGAGGCAGTCAATGGTTCTTGGCCTTGAATATGAACTGCCTGTTGGACTGGAGCTTGAGCAGGAACTGCCATTGCTTGCGGAGGATTGCGCATATTTGAAGTATACTTATAATTGGATGGACGACTCTGAGGAGAAACCCCAACTGCTTGTCCAGCCATAGAACGTCCTTGCATGTTTGCACCACCTACCGTTTGTTGACCTATAATAAAAATTAATATTTAACATTTATTCTCTGTATGATAATATTTTAATTATGATACAAATATAGACATTACGAAAACTATAATAACAATAACAATAACAATAACAATAACAATAACAATAATAATAATAATAATAATAATAATAATAATAATAACCACAATAACAACAATAGTAAAATAATATCACGTATTATTTTATTAATAAATAATTAAAGATCTAAGCAGTCTTACCTGTAATTGGCCTGGCAGATAGTGTATTGCGCATAGTACCAGCTTGAGCAGCCGGAGCTCGAGGAGCAGCTCTGAATGGTCCTTGCATAGCAGCAAAACCTGAACTACCAGTCTGTGCATTGGGTCGTACTTGATTTGGTTGTGCTGGCCAACGGGGTGTCGCACGAATCTGTGAAATTTGTGCTGGCCCATAAAATCTTTGTGGTTGAGGAATAGTAGGTAAATAATAACTGCCAGCACCACCAGGTTGAAATATTTGGCCCATTTGTTGCATACGCATGTTAGCCATGCGTTGCATATATTGTGAGGCAAGATGAGCCTTACGATCTTCTTTACGTTGAGCTAAAGCAACGTACAACGGTTTGGAACCTACTATACGACCGTTCATTTCTGTTACAGCCTTAGTTGCTTCTTCTGGGGCTGAAAAACATACAAAGCCAAATCCTTTGCTACGTCCTTCTTCCATCATGACTTTTGCGGAGGTAATAGTTCCAAAAGGTGTAAATTCTTTTCGTAGACGTTCATCGTCGATGGTGTCATCCAGATTCTTTACGTAAAGATTAACACCTTGATAACGGTTTAACCGTTCTATCTTCATTTGCTCAAACTTTCTCTTTAATTCTTGTTGACGTTCCGCCTTCTTTTGAGCTCTACCTACATACATGCATTTTCCTTCTGCCACTTCTTTTCCATTTAATTCCAAAACAGCTTGTTCAGCGGCATCAGGATCTTCAAAGGCGACGAAACCAAAACCTCGAGATTTCCCGTCATCTTTATTCATCACTTTATGACTGATGATGGTCCCATATTTCTCAAACATCTCTTTTAATTTATCATCGGTCATATCTTCTCCAAAATTTTTTACATAAACATTGGTAAAAAGCTTCGCTTTTTCTCCTAATTCTTTTTCACGTTCTTTGCGAGGGATAAACTTACCGACATAAACCTAAAAATTTAAGAATAACAATAATATAAATATAAAAAAATGTAATGAAAAGTATGATAATAAATGGTATATCACCTTCTTCCCGTTTAACAACATTCCGTTTACTTTGTCGATAGATTTGTTAGCGGCTTCTTCGGTTTCAAAATGAACAAAACCATATCCCTTAGATGCACCCGACTCGTCTTGAGCAACTTTGCAACTAAGTATATTACCAAAAGCAGAAAATGTATCGTACATTGCTTTATTGTCTATATTTTTATCTAAATTTTTAATGAAAACATTTCCAACACCAGATTTCCGAAGGGAAGGATCACGTTGGGACCACATGATTCTTATAGGCCGCCCTTTAATCATATCAAAGTTCATCGTATCCAGTGCGCGTTCAGCTAAAATATAAAGCATATATCGATAATGTTTAACATAAAAAACATTAAATTACGTATGAAATAATTCCATATAAATAAACAAAATCATACACATTCGGTTTGGGGGGAAATCATAACAATTGTTTGCGGCAAAAAAAGATTGTTAATAGACATACGAAATAAAAACTATTATACATATTGGCATAAGATTAAAAAATAATATTTTTTTAAAGAATAAATGATATTATAAACGTCGAATAGACGGCATGAATCGTTCAATCGTCATCCATTATTCAAAGTATTGCGAGATCCAATATGGTGGCTTTGCACAATGCATTGCACGTGCCATGAGCGCATAAATAAAGCATGGTAAGATGGTAAGAGGAAGTGAGAATTTCGTTGTTTCTTTCATGCGTATGATTAACAACAGTAAAATACTCACCATCAGCAGGTTGTTGAAAGTTGACATAAGCGTAACCAAGAGATCGTCTGGTAATCATATCACGACAGACGCGTATAGAAAGTACAGGGCCAGCCGACGAAAACTTTTCAAACAGCATCGCCTCGGTGATGTCGGTATGCAAATCTCCCACATAAAGCGAAGCCATAGGGTAGTTTGGAGCTCCTGGATTCATTTTTGTAGTTTACCTGGTCTTACGGGCCGTTAACGATGAAAATTTCTCTGCTTTTTGGTTTTCCTTGATTCTTTCAATATGGCTTGCCTTCAGACCACGTCGCTCTTCGTAAAGCAATTACTATTTTTTTCCACACTTTATTTAGGTATCGCGGTTTTCAGCAACAGTTTTACGATTTTTTTGTTTGTATTTTTTGCAATTTTATATTTTTTTTTGGATTTTTTTATAGGAGAGTTATTTCACGAATGGAAGTGGGTTGTGTGACCTATTTTGTGGAAAAAGGAGACACAACCACACGTGAACACAACTCTACTCTTAATGAGGAAGAGGCGTTGAAAGTAGTCCTCCTTACGCTTATATACACAACCGTAGAATGCACTTAGCGGATAGAAAATAGTCCCTTTTCTATAGCTTTAGGCGCCATCTTTGATTATTCTCTACGAAGAAGTTTATATATTTCTTTCTATTAAAATGATAAAAGTTTTTATTAATCAATTTTTTCTTAATCTATTCGAATGATTATTAATAAAGTTATTTTTTAACAAATAAATAAATATAATTTTATTGTACAAAAAAATACAACCAATAAATATGAAGAAGCGCCAACATCTAATGACCAATCACAATGCTCGATAAACATCGTGATATTATACACTATTCAACACTCATATCTGATTGGTTATTACTTTCACTGAATCTGAAAAATATCACTGAATCTTATTGTGATATATTAAAAATAAAAAAATATATATATAACAATGTTATTACAATATTCAAACATGAATAATTTGAATGCGTAAATAATTTTATTATGATTATATTTATTATATGTTAGTAAAAAAATTTTGGTGTGATATTTTGAATAATCACGTGGTTATGTATTATCAACCTGATTGGTTAAATTTGTCTGGAACTTTATTATTTCTTATATTACTATGTTCTCACGTGGGATTAGAAATTAAAAAACCATCTGTTGATAAGTGTTAAAATATAAATTACGTCATATTTTGATATCAGTATTATTTGTATCATAAATAATATAATCGTTCGATCTTCAACATATACTTTTACATTGATGAATTATTGAAAATTTATATAGAACAAAGGAAAATCGTATCGACACATTTTTCGTTTTTTTTTTTTTTTTTTCTTTTTTTTTTTTTTTTTTTTTTTACCTATGTCAAATTTTTAAATAAATAAAACAGGAAGTTTATCCGATTTGATCTATCGATATGCAAAGACGCGAGTAGTGATTCATATTTAGCGCCATTTTGATTGGTGAAAGGGGTTACGAGCTTGTAGATGGCGCGAAATATCATTTATATTAAGGAAAATAATAAAATTGTGGTCTCATGGAAATGTCCGCTCTGTTTGATACACTCTGGGTTGGTTGTATTCATCAATAAGACTACATTTTCAACAAAGATGTTAAATCAAGAGAGAAGAATATAATATGATTAAAAAGAAAACATGATGGGTCATTTTCTGAAATCTAATGTACTCGTAGTATTTAATAGACAGCTGTTCCAGTCCGGTAGACATGTTCATCTTTATGAGCGAAGTACTATGTTGCTTCCGTTGCTGTCACTTTTATTCACGTAAAATAATGCGTAGATCTAGTGTAATTATGAATGCAAATATGTGTGTATGATTGTAGTGTTCGTAGTACTTAATAAAAAAAAAAAAAAAAGGATTCGTTCGCTCGTTAAAAAAGAAAAAAATTGTAATAACCATTATAAGAAATAGTAATGGCTCAATGCAAGTTAACCCCACGGGAATTTATCAGCAATACCTTTTCGCCACAAATTGCTGCAGTATGTACATCTGCTGCCGACGCAACATGCCAGAAAAATAATTTAT